CATTTCATGTGGCACGGCTACAGACCACAATTATCAACCGATTTCAATGAAACTTACAGAATATGATAACATTAATAATATCTCAGAGGAGGCAAAATTTCGACCACTTCCAGTTAGCGGTTTCCGAGATATCAAGTTACCACACATTTCATGTGGTGTGGCTACAGAATGCAACTATCAACAGATTTCAATGAAACTTGCAGATTATAATGACATTAGTAATAAGTAGGCAAAGTTTCTGGTACTTCCGGTTAGCAGTTTCCGAGATATCAGGTTAAATACCACACATTTCATGTGGCACGGCTACAGACCACAATTATCAACCGATTTCAATGAAACTGGCAGATTATGATAACCTTAATAATATCTCAGAGTAGCCAAAATTTCGACCACTTCCGGTTAGCGGTTTCCGAGATATCAGGTTACCACACATTTCATGTGGCACGGCTACAGACCGCAACTGCCAACCAATTTCAATAAAACTTGCAGATTGCCTACTCTGAGATATTATTAAAGAAATTATTATCTGCAAGTTTCATTGAAATAGGTTGGTAGTTGCGGCCTGTCGCCGTGCCACATGAAATGTGTGGTAACCTGATATCTCGGAAACCGCTAACCGGAAGTGGTCAAAATGTTGGCTACTCTGAGATATTATTAATGAAATTATAATCTGCAAGTTTCATTGAAATCGGTTGGTAATTGCAGTCTGTAGCCGTGCCACATGAAATGTGTGGTAACCTGATATCTCGGAAACCGCTAACCGGAAGTTGTCGAAATTTTGCCTACTCTGAGATATTATTAATGTAATTATAATCTGCAAGTTTCATTGAAATCGGTTTGTAATTGCGTTCTGTAGCCGTGCCACATTAAAAGTGTGGTAACCTGATATCTTTGAAACCGCTAACCGGAAGTGGTCGAAATTTTGGCTACTTTGAGATATTAGTAATGTTATCATATTCTTTAAGTTTCATGGAAATCTGTTGATAATTTTGGTCTGTAGCCGTGCCACATAAAAAGTGTGGTAACCCGATATCTCGGAAACCCCTAACCGGAAGTGGTCGAAATTTTGCCTACTCTTGAGATATTATTAATGTTATCGTTATCTGTAAGTTTTATTAAAATTGGTTGATAATTGCGGTACGATACTTGCCACATGTGGCAAATAGTCTCCGGATTGTCTTACCACATGTGGCAAATAGCCCCAGCCCTATATTAATATAGGATGCTGTCATCTGCATCAGCAAAATTCTGTATGAAAAATCAAATTCCATGTATATTATAACATGCCATTTAATAGAGGAATATATTATCTTTCAGAAAATGTAATCATTTTCCTGGCACATTAATATCTACAGGGTGAATTGTAAGGTATAAGAGGGGTGGGGTAGTAAACCTTGAGACGGTATTTATACGGGATGCTGTCATTTTCGGCAACGAAAAGCTATATGAAAAATCAAATTCCAAGTATAATATCATATACCATTTAAAAGAGAAATTTATTATCCTTTATAAAATATAAACATTTTTCTGGCACATTAATACCTACAGAGTGAATTATATGGTATAAGAGGGGTGGGGTATCAGCAGTGTTCGGATTTTGCCCGTATATTCCGGACATGTCCGGCGCTATTTTCCAAATGTCCTAAATTGTCCTACCAGGAATATGCCCAATCGGACATCAAGACATGGTAAATAATATTCAAAATTCCAAAATTAATATAGTGTACTGAGTTTATAACTACCACTCAACCCGATTATCGTTGATTAATAGGCTGGATTGATTAGGTAATTAAGTGATCTTGAAAGTAATTATTGTTTTATGCCGTCTATACACCTACCTTGATTAACTACTTAATCTGCCTTGATTGGCTGACTTAATTCTTTGTCGAACAATTCATCAATTCAATCCTGAACAGAAGTCATTGCTTCTCCTTTGTCGGACTATATATCAATCCAATAAACTTAATCTATGTGATTAACCCGTGATTTCTCCATTGTCTCACGTTTTAATATCCTTGATGTCGGCCGTAAACATTAGTCATATATGTCACATATGCTATTAGTATAATAACACCCCAAATCAATATACATTGTGTTGAACGTTAAATCTTTAATAAACAACAACAAAAACATTGTGTCCGATAACTTGTCTGTGATATTTCTTCAGTGGAAGCCGAAGTTAAATAAAGCTATTTCACACACACGCAAAATGAAAGTAGAAATCTCGCGAGACACGTGGAATTAAGAGGTGTAAACGTGCCGAATCTAATACGTCTGATGTCGGGAGAAAAGATTCTATTTTGATGGCATATTGTCGGATTTATGATCATATTTTGAATGGGGTTTATGTTTTTAAATAAATAAATAAACACGCAAAGAAATGTTGACAAATATTTCGATTGGAATAACGTAAGTAATTACGGTAATTGTTTTAGACGACAGCGCGTGCTTAGAGTCGAATGGGATTAGGCTATTTAGCAGTTGGTATCACTCGCTCGTTGTATTAGAGCAACGTTTACTACGGTTTTCGATCAAATAAATTTCGGGATGTCATTTTTTTTACCTTCCGTATATAAATCGAAATGGAGTATGAGACGAATGCCGGACTTTGCTGAAAAATGTATCAACTGATAACCTGAAAAATATGGTAATTTGGGGGGGAATTTGAAACCGGTACGGATGGGCAGTAGTCAGCACGCTTTCATTCTATGGTATTACGATGTCATGTAATTTTGTAGGAATATTATTGACATAAATTTGAATACCATACGGGAATCAAATATGAAAAATAACGAGGTGACCTAATTTTTTTTATTATGTATGAATTTGAATATTCTTAATTGTGGTTTGAAAACACCTGCTTAAATGTCCCTTTATTTTCGGGAAAGAAAATGTCCGACAACTAAAATTTTGAAATCCCATCACTGGGTAGCAGACTTCAAGGCCATATTGATATAGGATGCTGTCTTGTCGCAGTGGAATGCAATATGAAAAATCAAATTCCAAGTATATTATCACATACCATTTGAAAGAACAATTTATTATCTTTCATAAAATATAAACATTATCCTGGTACACTACTAACTTCAGGGTGAATTGTAAGGTTCAAACTACTATTAATATTTTATTTCGTTTCGTTTTGTTATATTCTGTGTTTTCTACTATAAATCAGTATCGACGGCAACCAGTGGACAGAATTGACCACGTGATTAGAGCAGATCAATTCATTGTGCAAAGAGGAGAATATTTTGAACTATATGCTAGTTTTTGGTTACTTCTAGCAGACATTGTCTGTTGTCTGCCAGTTATAGGTTGGGGATAAGATATGGATTTGACATGAGTTGTGGAATATGTCTAGCCTCGTTCTTTCTGGTCACTTGTTACAAATGACGCTGAAAGAATATGGTACACGATTCGTATACCAATGGTAAAATGTTTATTGTGTCTTAAATATTGGATATCAGAAGCCTACCTTTTCCTGGTAAGATCACATCAATGTTGTTTTGAATTGACAAATAATTTGTATTTTCAACGTGTAAGACTTTGGATGATATTGAGTTAAAGATTTAGCTACTTTAAAGATAAGTTGCATGTAGTTCAGCTCTGGACGTAGGTCTCATTTCACTCGGCCTGTACGTTCAGGAACTCTTCTATTGAATCTTTGTCGAAACTGAGATCCGCCCCAGTCAATCTTACTGGGCAACTTTTTACTGCTAAACGGTCGTGTGTCACTCCCAGTGAACGCCTGAACAATATAAATGAACACCTTAGTGAGAAAATAAGACCTTGCTTACCACGATAGAACCAGTATGAGTGGCACAACAGGCCGAGTGAAATGAGACCTACGCTCAGAGCTGAACTAGGTTGCATGTACTATGTAGAGCAAGATCAAGCAAGATGCTTAAAGGAGCTAAATCGCTAACATTTGGGACCTAGAAATTGACAAAAGTGGATCGCAACGCATATAATACTGTAATATGAATGTATATAAACTGATTTACATTCAATGGTTCCCGTTTTTACTCCAATTTCTAATCAGTTATGTTCGGCGAAATAAGTCAGCAGTCTCAAGTGAGTGCAAATTTCTAGCGTTTGGTTATTCCAGTCTACATACACCGTTTGATTTGGTGCAATGTGTCTAGCCTCGTCCCTCGAGTCTCTTGATATAACTGGGGCTGAAGAGCATTATGGTACACGATTCGTGTACCAATGGTAAAATGTTTATTTTGTCTGAAATATTGGATATCAAAAGCCCATCTTTTTCCGGTAAGATCACAACATGAATGTTGATTTAATTTGACAAATAAATCGTGTTTTCAATGTTGAAGATTTTGGATGATAATGAGTTAGAGACTTAGCTACTTTAAGATGCAAATCATAGTGATTTACTAATACTACAAATGATAGCGCCTGATCCGGCCTGGAGGATTGCTTGACATTCATTTTGCTAAGCTGTCTACATTAAAGGAGCTTAATCGCTAACATTTAATGGGACCTAGAAATTGACAAAAGTGGGTCGCAACGCATATAATACTGTAATATGAATGTATATAAACTGATTTACATTCAATGGTTTCCGTTTTTACTCCAATTTCAAATCAGTTATGTTCGGCGAAATAAGCCAGCAGTCTCAAGCGAGTGCAAATTTCTAGCGTCTGGTTATTCCGGTCTACATACGCCGTTTGATTTGGTGCAATGTGTCTAGCCTCGTCCCTCGAATCTCTTGATACAACTGGGGCTGAAGCGCATTATGGTACACGATTCGTGTACCAATGGTAAAATGTTTATTTTGTCTGAAATATTGGATATCAAAAGCCCATCTTTTCCGGTAAGATCACAACATGAATGTTGATTTAATTTGACAAATAATTCGTGTTTTCAATGTTGAAGATTTTGGATGATATTGAGTTAGAGACTTAGCTACCAACACTTAGCCAGTCAATGAATTCTCTTAGTATCAATTAGGCTAGTGCAAGAGAATTGAATTGCAACATACATACCCAATTCTTGAGTGTGTCGTAAAAGCTGATGGCGCATGACAGGAACACTTCAACTTCAGGAAAAGGAAACCCACGTGGCGAGTAAGAATTACGTCCAATCGGGATTACTTGGCGACATCCGTGATAAAGCCAAGATCAAGTCCTCTGCGAATCAAGCTGGCCGTCACTTACAAATTCGCTAGATGACCATGACTTCAGTGAAATCACGTGCACGCTATGGGCTAATCCGAGCCTTCGATAAATAAAATGAATTGAAAGTAGTCTATTTTAAGTAACCCATTTCTTTGCTTAAAATAAAAATGCTCTTATCTCTTCTAAAATATGTCATCATGAATGTGCCAGAAAATAACAAGTAGATTTAAAGATCCATAGAAACCCACCTTCCAGTACTGTATGACACAATAATAACTGGAATTTCGTATTAAGACACGTATTTTGACATTACTCGCCCCACCCCACCACTATCTTTCATTCAGACAGTGAAGGCTACCATGAAACTTGTATCAATTTTAATTTAAAAACTAGAACTGCGAAGCAGTAATGACGGGTTTCACCGGTGCCACGTTACCCTTGAACTTATGTCACTTCCGGTACCAATGAAACCGTTAAACAGGTTTCCACATAAGCATTGCACACATGAAATAAAATGGACGCAGAAACAACCAAATCCAGCAATCAATTCATTTGCTACATGTCAGTGATCCTGTCAAAATTACATTACTTCCGGTGATAATGAAAATGTTAAATTGGTTTATGAAATCAGAAATAGCATCATCACATGTTGAAAATTTTATGTAAATCCTATAATAATTGCCACCTTTATAGACCAAAAACCTTGAAAAATGACTTGTAGAAAATCGCCTATTTCTCTGCAACCGTACAAGTTAGAAACCATTTTGAGGTATCTGTATGATCGAATGAGTTCATTCTATTTGTTGATTGGAATCAAATATCATAATTTTAAAAACATTACAAATCTGATTCATTTGAATAAAATATCTGTTTTGAAGGCTAAAAATACAGTTTTTGCCAAAATGTCGTTACTTCCTGTGATAATGAAAATCTTAAATTACTTGTATGATATCGTAAATGGCATTATGTATCACACAGTGAAAATTTCATGAAAATCGAATAATAATTGACACTTTTTTTGACAAAAAAACCTTAAAAAGTGACCTGTTGAAAATTGCCTATTTCTCCGCAACTGAACAAGTTAGAAACCATTTTGTGATATCTATATGATCGTAAGGGTTCATTGTATTAGTTGATTTGAATCAAATATCAAAATTTTAAACAAATAACAAATATGACTCATTTGAATAAATTACTGGTTTCGAAGGCTATAAATACAATTTTTGCCCAAATTACGTCATTTCCGGTGATATTGAAAATGTTAAATTGGTTTGACCTAGTTAAAATTGACATTACACATCAAATGGTGTCACTTTTATGAAAATCGAATAATAATTGACTCTTTTACAGGCAAACTAGCGTAAAAAGTGACTCATGCAAAATTGCCCATTTCTCGGCAACTGCGCATATTACAAATTAATTTTCACATACATTCTCTCCGTATAGATTATTGCTACGAGTTTATGAAAGTTACGAAGTAATATTTTAAAATATGAAAACGCTGAATGGGTTGTAAATAGCTTAATTTTACACCTTTTTTCACCTTTTAATCGAAATAGCCCGAAAACGGAATCGAAATTAAAAAAAATGGTCCCAACATTTTGTGCGCCTTTAAAGGGCGCACAATTTCAGTTATACCAGATTTGAAAAAAATAATATTTGCTTTCGAAAAATGGTACCTAACTGTCAAAATTGTAGTTTTTTGTCAATTTACGCCACTTCCGGTGCCGACAGATAACACTATTGGTAACAAAAAAAATGACAATTGAGACAACGGGGCATATGAACTTTGTTTTATACAAATCGAACAATAAATAATTAATCTAGGACTGAAAAACTGAATTAGCCAATGGGGGCCAAGGAAAATTACCGAGACAAAAAATTTTCACATTTTTGCCCAAGTCAGAGGACTCGTTATATTTGTGTAAAACACGATTAAAAAATATTCATAAATAAAAAAGTTTTTTGTAAAAATTTAAATTTTCTAAATTTAGCGCCTAATATCTGCGAAGATTTGCCGAAAATCAAAAATCAAAAGTAGCGTAGCTATGTGCCCCGTCTCCGGCTATGCCAAAATGCATCGAAAGTTAAAATCCAATGATTATTGTTAAAATTACTGCAATATTTCTAAAAACGATAGCTTCGGTGATTTCGGACATTTCGCATTGTCGCAGAACGTTCAAAATAGCTTTATCCTCTAAGTCACACCCACTTTTTCGATAAAACCGAAGAAATCGTAACGATGCGACAAGTAGTTGCTGAGATCTACTCAAAACAAAAGAAGAATAATAATAATAAGAATAACTAGAACTGCGAAGCAGTAATGACGGGTTTCACCGGTGCCACGTTACCCTTGAACTTATGTCACTTCCGGTACCAATGAAACCGTTAAACAGGTTTCCACATAAGCATTGCACACATGAAATAAAATGGACGCAGAAACAACCAAATCCAGCAATCAATTCATTTGCTACATGTCAGTGATCCTGTCAAAATTACATTACTTCCGGTGATAATGAAAATGTTAAATTGGTTTATGAAATCAGAAATAGCATCATCACATGTTGAAAATTTTATGTAAATCCTATAATAATTGCCACCTTTATAGACCAAAAACCTTGAAAAATGACTTGTAGAAAATCGCCTATTTCTCTGCAACCGTACAAGTTAGAAACCATTTTGAGGTATCTGTATGATCGAATGAGTTCATTCTATTTGTTGATTGGAATCAAATATCATAATTTTAAAAACATTACAAATCTGATTCATTTGAATAAAATATCTGTTTTGAAGGCTAAAAATACAGTTTTTGCCAAAATGACGTTACTTCCGGTGATAATGAAAATCTTAAATTACTTGTATGATATCGTAAATGGCATTATGTATCACACAGTGAAAATTTCATGAAAATCGAATAATAATTGACACTTTTATTGACAAAAAAACCTTAAAAAGTGACCTGTTGAAAATTGCCTATTTCTCCGCAACTGAACAAGTTAGAAACCATTTTGTGATATCTATATGATCGTAAGGGTTCATTGTATTAGTTGATTTGAATCAAATATCAAAATTTTAAACAAATAACAAATATGACTCATTTGAATAAATTACTGGTTTCGAAGGCTATAAATACAATTTTTGCCCAAATTACGTCATTTCCGGTGATATTGAAAATGTTAAATTGGTTTGACCTAGTTAAAATTGACATTACACATCAAATGGTGTCACTTTTATGAAAATCGAATAATAATTGACTCTTTTACAGGCAAACTAGCGTAAAAAGTGACTCATGCAAAATTGCCCATTTCTCGGCAACTGCGCATATTACAAATTAATTTTCACATACATTCTCTCCGTATAGATTATTGCTACGAGTTTATGAAAGTTACGAAGTAATATTTTAAAATATGAAAACGCTGGATGGGTTGTAAATAGCTTAATTTTACACCTTTTTTCACCTTTTAATCGAAATAGCCCGAAAACGGAATCGAAATTAAAAAAAATGGTCCCAACATTTTGTGCGCCTTTAAAGGGCGCACAATTTCAGTTATACCAGATTTGAAAAAAATAATATTTGCTTTCGAAAAATGGTACCTAACTGTCAAAATTGTAGTTTTTTGTCAATTTACGCCACTTCCGGTGCCGACAGATAACACTATTGGTAACAAAAAAAATGACAATTGAGACAACGGGGCATATGAACTTTGTTTTATACAAATCGAACAATAAATAATTAATCTAGGACTGAAAAACTGAATTAGCCAATGGGGGCCAAGGAAAATTACCGAGACAAAAAATTTTCACATTTTTGCCCAAGTCAGAGGACTCGTTATATTTGTGTAAAACACGATTAAAAAATATTCATAAATAAAAAAGTTTTTTGTAAAAATTTAAATTTTCTAAATTTAGCGCCTAATATCTGCGAAGATTTGCCGAAAATCAAAAATCAAAAGTAGCGTAGCTATGTGCCCCGTCTCCGGCTATGCCAAAATGCATCGAAAGTTAAAATCCAATGATTATTGTTAAAATTACTGCAATATTTCTAAAAACGATAGCTTCGGTGATTTCGGACATTTCGCATTGTCGCAGAACGTTCAAAATAGCTTTATCCTCTAAGTCACACCCACTTTTCCGATAAAACCGAAGAAATCGTAACGATCCGACAATCAGTTGCTGAGATCTACTCAAAACAAAAGAAGAATAATAATAATAAGAATAACTAGAACTGCGAAGCAGTAATGACGGGTTTCACCGGTGCCACGTTACCCTTGAACTTATGTCACTTCCGGTACCAATGAAACCGTTAAACAGGTTTCCACATAAGCATTGCACACATGAAATAAAATGGACACAGAAACAACCAAATCCAGCAACCAATTCATTTGCTACATGTCAGTGATCCTGTCAAAATTACATTACTTCCGGTGATAATGAAAATGTTAAATTGGTTTATGAAATCAGAAATAGCATCATCACATGTTGAAAATTTTATGTAAATCCTATAATAATTGCCACCTTTATAGACCAAAAACCTTGAAAAATGACTTGTAGAAAATCGCCTATTTCTCTGCAACCGTACAAGTTAGAAACCATTTTGAGGTATCTGTATGATCGAATGAGTTCATTCTATTTGTTGATTGGAATCAAATATCATAATTTTAAAAACATTACAAATCTGATTCATTTGAATAAAATATCTGTTTTGAAGGCTAAAAATACAGTTTTTGCCAAAATGACGTTACTTCCGGTGATAATGAAAATCTTAAATTACTTGTATGAAATCGTAAATGGCATTAGGTATCACACAATGAAAATTTCATGAAAATCGAATAATAATTGACACTTTTATTGACAAAAAACCTTAAAAAGTGACCTGTTGAAAATTGCCTATTTCTCCGCAACTGAACAAGTTAGAAACCATTTTGTGATATCTATATGATCGTAAGGGTTCATTGTATTAGTTCATTTGAATCAAATATCAAAATTTTAAACAAATAACAAATATGACTCATTTGAATAAATTACTGGTTTCGAAGGCTATAAATACAATTTTTGCCCAAATTACGTCATTTCCGGTGATATTGAAAATGTTAAATTGGTTTGACCTAGTTAAAATTGAC